GCGCTTTCTTATTAGAATCAGAATCAGAATGAGCTTTATTCACCACTTAAGTGTGCGCAAGCACAAGGAATTTGTTGTGGTTTTACAGGAACTCTTGGTACATACATACATACAAATAACCATATATATGACACAAGATAGTTATAGAAGTTCACAGAACTGACTCGGAAACAGCGTAAACAGAGTAAAACTGTTTAATCTGAGAATGTGGCACTTTAAGCATTATCGTATCGAATATCGTAAAAAAAAATAAATAAATAAATTTCTCTCTCTTTATTTATTCCTTCTCTTTCTAGCTTGTACTTATTTGAACAATGTCTAGAAACTTGGTATTACAAGCACTTCCTGTATCTGTTTGCCTCTTTAAGAAGAATCGCTTTATGTATCCCCAAATTGTAAGTCGCTTTGGATAAAAGCGTCTGCAAAATGACTAAATGTAAATGTAAATGTAAAATTACATTTTTATGTAATGCTCGAGTAAAACACTACCGTTCACTTTCAGAAGTTGTTGTAGGGGTGCTTTCTTATTAGAATCAGAATCAGAATGAGCTTTATTCACCACTTAAGTGTGCGCAAACACAAGGAATTTGTTGTGGTTTTACGGGAACTCTTGGTACATACATACATACAAATAACCATATATATGACACAAGATAGTTATAGAAGTTCACAGAACTGACTCGGAAACAGCGTAAACAGAGTAAAACTGTTTAATCTGAGAATGTGGCACTTTAAGCATTATCGTATCGAATATCGCATTATTTAATGAGTTATCGCATATCGCTTTTTTCTTCAATATCGTACAGCCCTAGTCAGAATAAAGAATTAATATGTGCTTTAGTACTAATAAACAGACAAAATGCTAGTAATATTCATGCTAGTAAGCAACTAGTTGATTGTGAGAATTGGTCCTTAAAATAAAGTGTTACCAAAAAAAAAAAGCACTTTAAAGGTTGCATTTAAAAATTAGTTATTAATTTATTGTTACATTTAAAATTTAAATGTTAAGAACTGTTAAAACTAGTCCTCCATAAACTCCCACACAGCCTGAAACAGCAAAATTACAGTAATGGTGCGAGTTTAGGGCAGGACTAACTGGTTGTTTGACTGTTGGCAGATGGATGTGATTAAATTTACTTCTACTTTGAATAGTTAATAACAAACAAGTTAGGTCACTGAAACATTAGCATATCATTGAAAAATGTTTTCAGGATGTCGTTACACATCACATTTTGTGTGTAACATACTTTATTAAATGAATCTAGAAAAAGTAATAGTTCATGCATAGAGGTAAAAGTGTTTTGAGGCTATATGTAAAACCACTGCTGTAAGTTTTCTTAACAGCTCTATCAATCTTCTAAAGTCTCTATGTTGTACTGACATGCTGCTTGCCAAGCAGGCCTACAATACGGGGAGATTTACTACCGTGTCATGGTGAATAAAAATATGACTGCATTCAAGGTGAGGTAGTTTGAGTCACTGTTTGTACATTACAAAAAACAAACATTCTAAAATAAACATCAGTATGCCTTTTTCACTAATCTTATAATGTATATTGTTTAAAATGGTATAACAAATGTAAGTAGTTTTCTTTTGTAGAATGTTTGCTTCTTTTGTTGAAAGCCTGTAAGGTGACCTTTCAAACAAAAAAGTGGTTTAACATGCTAAGGTTAAGTAAGTAAATCTGTTGTTTGCCAGTGAACCACGACAGTGTTCCTTAAGCAGGAGAAGTGATGTTTGTTTCTTTACAAAAACAACCTTTTGCAAGTTCTCTTTAATGTCTGACAGGAGATATTGAAGGAGAACCCATTTGAGGATCCCATGGTCCTCATGCAGAAGTTTGAATTAAAGATGAGACAAGCTGTTCCTAGTGGAAAGAGAAGGGGGGATGGACATGAAAAGATGACACATTTCTTTGTTCAGCAGATCAGATTGGGATGCCGCAGCCTGTAGTTTCAGTTTTCTTGCCGCTGTGGTGTAGCTCAGCTCGCTTCTGCTCTCTCTTCTTGCGGTTGTGTTTGTTTTCTCAAAAGCTGTCGGCTTTCCGTGCATGAGACACACCTGCTGTCTATACCACAAACTCAAGACTGTCAAGTACAGAATCTTACAGATGAATATTACAAATGCAATATGACTGAAAAGGAAAATGATCCAGTGAGTGAAGCAGAAACAGAAATGTCTTTGAAAATCAACTTTGAGCCAGTTGTAAAACAGTGTTATGCCATGACAGCTTGATTTGTGCTGTGGAAACCTATCTATAGATACTTCTCTGACCACAGCAAAATAAATGTCAGCTACAATGTAGCTAGTCAGCTACATTTAGATGGGTTGTTCATCATATTTTGTTTTCACAGGCCAACCTGAATGACTCTCATAATCAAATGGTCGTCCACTGGGCCGGAGAGAAGAGCAATGTCATAGTAGCGCTCGCGAGAGACAGCGTTGGTGCCACAGATCCCAAGAGCAGCTCGGTGAGTATATCGGTTTTTTTTCCCCTAGATCATTTCATAACTTTGACTTTCAAGATTGTATACGTGTCTATATATATTAGACTATTCACTGTAAGATACAGAGAATATCTTTACCGGCTAGCTTTGCTTTTTAGTGCTCTCTGAGTCATACAGATGAAAGGCCCCCCTCTGTTTTTCAGTTCCCTGCACTTTTATTATATCATCTTAAATGCTGCCGGATCCAACTCGCTGCACTTACTGCAAAGACTCTCTTGCACCCTTGAATGTTACTTTTCCATCTGCGTGGCAATAATTGCTAAGTTTTCAATAATTGCAGAGCATTATCTAATGCAAATGCAAGAACAAAAGTGGTGCGGTCGTACTTTATGGGGCGCTGGAGCTGTTATCTGCTCACCCGTGTAGTGCGTTACAAGTGTTCTTTGTGAAATGCAAGACAAAGCAAATCAAAGTAAAAGTTCACCAGTTTCTTATAGGAAATTACAAGTGATTACAGATGAGTGTATTACAGAAATGATCTGTTCCAAAGGCAGCACTTTTTCAAAAGATTAACTGCCTAATTATGATCACTTACATTCTTTGAGCCAAATTCTAGCAGATTTACATGTATCCTCTTTGGAGAAGACAATCTCAGAATGCAGTCTGTAAAATTTTGCATCCAATATGTCAGACACATGAATTAAATCAAATACACTTAATTGTCCTTAAAGGGAAATTTGTCTTTTGCTGCGTCCCAATTCGCCTACTCATACTATTCCCTAAAAGTATGTACTCTTTTTGTGAAGAAGTATATACTTGAGTATGTAGCAGAATAGTATCCAAGCTTTGGGACATACTACTTTGTCATAATTGCGTCTTTAAGGGACACTCTGTTGCTTAGTTATGTGCGTTCTGTCAGTGTTTAAACTGCCCTGTCAGTCGTCTTGTCACAGTTAACATCATCCACATTTAATTTAATTTGATTTCCTGCGGTATTGAAGAGAAACAAAGAGACACGTTGATCTGCCAGTTGTAGGTTTATGCAGAGAACTTTCCTTATGTGTTATAATGATGATAAAAGTTCAGCGTTGTTACAGATGAAATATAATGAGGATAACATTAAATAAATTATTTTTTTATCAGGTTAGATAATGATTATTTATCACTCAAACCTCTTTCTCTACCTGTCCGTCAGTCTCACATGCCATGTTTGTAGATTTTTTTTAAAGGGGTTGAATGCATTTTAAGAATACTTTTCCCATCAACTGGTCAAAATGCACAACACCGCTGTATGCTGCGTGAAAGACTATGAAGGTATTTTTGGTGCAAAACAACTGAGTGACAGCAGAATTTGTAGTTGTAGAGAATAGCAACACGTGTATCAGTAAATCTGAAGTCACAGACAAAAGTTGCAAACTTGTAGATTTTTTTTTCTCTTCCACAAACACAACACAACAGTTACACCTTCTTGAATCCTTCACTGCAGGTGCACAAATCCTAGTCTACGAATCACAAATCAAGAAACTCGTACGCTCACATGTTTTGCTACTATTGCTGCAGTGCATATGGTGCAAAACACATTCACACACCTGCATCAAAAAATGTGAAGTCACGGACGAATTTTGTACATCCGCAAATCAGTCTGTGAATTCTTGCAATGAGATTTGCACGCTTGTAGAATGTTTTCTTACATATTTTTTTTTTTTGGATGCTTTTTCTAGCACAATAACTACAACGGCGTGAATTTATAGCTTAAATATAGCTACGCTGGTAAACAGTGTTTCTTAATTAGGTTAGCAAATCTTATTTCACGAAAGGTAAGCTAACGTTAGCCTGCACTGTTAAGTTTGCTATTCAATCGTCTCGTATTAAATTACACTTGTCTAATATAACGATTGATTCCTTGTATTCTGTTATGCTTTACCTTATAGAAAAATGACAGATCAGGCTGCATCTTCGCAGGTGAGTAAGTTAAAACCAAGGGTACAATGTTTTTTTTCTTTAGTGAATAGTAATTTTTATTGGGATAGCCTACTATAGTAAACTAAAGGTAATTTACAGCAGGCAATCTATAGTAGGTAATTTGCCTAGTAATTATTACTCTCAGTGTTGGGTAGGATTACTAATTACTTTAGTTATCTCAGTTTTCATTCCTTTGAGAATCCTTGTTTTGTGATTTGGCTCTTTATACTTTCAGTGTCCCAAGAGCAGCTGAAACAGCTTGTTAAATTTTGGGTTGGATGGGAGATACCCATGGCTAGCATGAAAGTGGTGGTGGTTCGAGCGGAATATCCCACTTCATCCACATGCTTCCACACCCTTCGCTTACCTGGTTACTATAAACAGCATAAACACATTTCATTACACCAAATAATGTTCTTTTTAGCAACATCATATGACCCCTTTAAGTGTTTGTCTTTAATTGCTAATGCGACCGTTTTACACCACAGACTTAAAAAAATGAAGCATTGCTTGGTAATTGGTTGATCTAAATTGGTTTTATCTAATTGTGTGCTTAAATTTAACAGCTGACAGCTATTCAACCAAATTCATTACATACAGTTTAACTCGAGTTCTTGTCATATTTTATTACCATTTTCTAAAGTATAGCGAATAAACTGTGATAATGCGAGAAATGTTGAAAGTGTCTGAATAAATTTTGGTTTGACTGTATATATATATATATTAGTATTTTTTCCTTTTATTGGCATGCTACAAGTAATATTCAGATGGAATAAGTTGTTTCTGGACAGGAGTATTCTAAATGCTGAAATTTGCTTGCTTTTAACAGAATAGAGCGTCTCTGGCGAGATGTGTTTACAGCAGTCACATGCCGCTTCTACAGTGCGCTGCACCAGCTGGAGGGGGATGGTCTACTTGACCTGTCCAGTAGTGTTCATCTCTTCTGCTGCCATCATGTTTTTATTCCCCGCCTGCAAGCCCAGCTTTATTTATTCAGAGATGGCTGGGACAATCAACCACTTTCAACTGAGAGAAATATCACTCCTAATCAACTGTGGCACATGGGTCTACAGCACAACTCAGAAGAAAACAATGTTGAGGTAAATATTTGTGAATTATAGTTGAAAAAGCATGCATTTGTGGCAGGAAAATTAATGATTACTTATCTTACAGGATTTGCAGATCCCTTTGATTGATTGGGAAAGTAGCGGTCTTATACCCTGTGATCCAAACTGTGGTGTCCATGTCCCTGAGACTGACTGCCCTTTGAGACCTGATGACCTAGCTGGACTTAGTGCTGCTGTGGACCTAATGGGACACTCAACATGCATGGGAATAGATAGATATTTAGCTGCAGTGGACTATATGCACAGCATTGGCTATGTGTAGAGTTATCAGTATGAACTCTAATTATCCATGCAATCACAAACACAACTTCATGTTTGTTTTTAATCATGTTTATTGTAAATACATTAGTTCAAATGTCAAGTACAACTCTAAACCATTTCAATAAAAGCCAACATTTCAACATCAGGGAACAATGAATAACTGATGAATGCTTAGATATTCAACAATGTTTAGAATCTTAATTATTAAGTTACAATTCAATAGAAAACAAAATTTAATGAAATAACTTGTGAATTCAGAGCTTTCCACTTTCTACAACAATCCAAATCCACTGTCATTTGTGGCAATGCAGTTGTCTAAATGAACACTAAATTCTCTGAAACTGTTGTAGTAACCAGGTAAGCGAAGGGTGTGGAAGCATGTGGATGAAGTGGGATATTCCGCTCGAACCACCACCACTTTCATGCTAGCCATGGGTATCTCCCATCCAACCCAAAATTTAACAAGCTGTTTCAGCTGCTCTTGGGACACTGAAAGTATAAAGAGCCAAATCACAAAACAAGGATTCTCAAAGGAATGAAAACTGAGATAACTAAAGTAATTAGTAATCCTACCCAACACTGAGAGTAATAATTACTAGGCAAATTACCTACTATAGATTGCCTGCTGTAAATTACCTTTAGTTTACTATAGTAGGCTATCCCAATAAAAATTACTATTCACCAAATAAAAAAAACATGGTACCCTTGGTTTTAACTTACTCGCCTGCGAAGATGCACCCTGATCTGTCATTTTTCTATAAGGTAAAGCATAACACAAGGAATAAATCGTTATATTAGACAGTGTAATTTAATACGAGACGATTGAATAGCAAACTTAACAGTGCAGGTAGGCTAACGTTAGCTTACCTTTCGTGAAATAAGATTAGCTAACCTAACTAAGAAACACTGTTTACCA